GCTACAGCTTTGCACTCGGCAACTGTTGTTAGGGCTGTTCCCGCTCCAGCCACTTGGCTTTACAGACAAGGAAACCGAGGCTCGAAGAATTTAGTTGCCAGAGCTCAGCGCACTCATCCAGCTTACCGACTGTCTCCAGCGCAATCTCCATTCCAATCGTCTCCCTTAAAAATTAACATTAACTGAACGCTTACTACGTGGTAGGCACTGTATTAAGCGCTTCGGGTACAAGAACTCTTTTAATCACGTGCAAACCCCTTGAGATTGGTGCTAATTCTCTACATCTTGCAGCAGAGGAAACCCGTCAAAGATACCAAATTCTATACTTGGCTCTTGATTTTACTTTAACCAGTGCTGTGTGTATAATCTCATATACACCTACCAAGATCTTTAAATTCTTTAAGGAGAGGAACTAAATAATATTCCTATATTACATCATCACTTGCAACTTCAACAAAAGCAGTGCGGGCCAGACTGTCTAGAATCTTATTGCCTGGATCTTATTATTTCACTTTTTTATCCTGGAGGATGAATCCTTCAGCCTCAGTTTGGTGTGTGAGTGGGATCGTCTCTGGATTGTTGTAGAAATTCAAAATGATATTTCGAAGTATCTAGCACCAAATAAAAGCTAACAATTCTTATACCTCACCAGCAATAAGAAAGGCCTATATATGGATACTTGCAACACTCTGAAACAGTAGGAGGACTCACAGAGTCAGATGTCAGACAAGGGAAAGAGAGAGGGGGAAAAAAAAGAGCATTCCTCAGCCACAAAATCCAAAAGACACTAAATATCAGGGTCAGAAGCTGTATCCTAGGCCAAATTCAGGAGGAAGTTAATAAAAAAAAACTTCTTCACATGCATATCTCAAAACATACTAAGAAAAAGATTCTTAAAACTTCCAACTAAGAAAGTCAAGGGAAATAGAAATATTTGAGAACCCCTTATTATAAATATAAAAGGCTGGATTTGTGGCTAGGCGGCAGAGCTCTTGTCTAGTATGCATTGAGGCCCTGGGTTAAATCCCCAGTACCATAAAAAAAGAAAAAAGTTAAGATGCAAACAATGCCACCACTACTGATTTATTTATTTAAAGTGCTATGTTGTTGTTGTTTGTTTGTTTGGTTGGTTGGTTGTTTTTTATTTATTTTATTTATTTATTTTGTGTGTGTGTGTGATTGCAGAAGTATTTTTAAATACTTCCATATTACCTAAATTAAGAAGCCTTTCATGCCTCTTGAGTATGAAGTGAAAAACAGCCTGCCCTTGGCAAAACTTACTAAGGCCTTCTCTTTCTACCAAGGCCTAAAGGGCTAAGAAGAGAAATTCTGACACAGACATTGCTAGGTTCTGTGGAAGATGCAGAGGAGCTAGCCTTTGGTCATTTAAACTGGTCACCTAATTGATAAATCCTACAGTCACGATTTGAAAGGGAGTCTACTTTTTGTTTTGTTTTTAATTAATTTATTTGTTTAGGGAGTCTGTTTTCTCAGACACTTTACAGAACTATGCCAGCAGTTCTCAAACTTGAGAGTGATACAGAATCACCCTGAAGGACTTGTTAAACAAATTGCTGGACCCCATCCCCAACATTTCCCAGAAGCATCTAAGGCTTCTCAAGGTGTAGTCACTGGGCTAGCAGCTCAGCATCACCTGGGAACTTATTACAGATGCAAATTACTGGGCCCTACCCCAGACCTTGTGAGCCAGAAACTCTGGGGTGGAACCCAGCAATCTGTTTTAACAGGTCCCCCAGGTTTGAGAACCACTGCACTCAAATAGCTCATCTTCCATGTATTCCTTTTTGTTTTTCTACTTACAGGAATAACTCTACTGAAGCAAAAATGCTTCCCAATAATTAAATGACATATTGGTGTTTTTTTGTTTGTTTTTTTGTTTTTTGTTTTTAATGCTTTGCTCTCTGTGGAAGATAAGGCTAGAAAAACAATCAGATTTAATGGAAGATTATTTTTTATTACTTTAAATTTGTATTGAAATTTAACCAGATAATACTAAGTTGGAAATCTTTAAAACTGCTCTATGCCAAAGATTTACATACATTTGCTAAATTAATCTTCACTATACTGCTATGAGGCTTTATGGTCTTATTTTACAGATAAGAATAACCAAGACTTAGGTGAAGTAATGGACTAAAGACCACATTCTTGTTAAGGGGCAGAAACAGGATCGTTCAAAGATCCCTTTAATTGCAAAACTCACATTTTTTCCACTTTGGCTGGAGCTTGGAGAACCAAATTCCAGTGTGGGCTCTACCACCCCAGCTATGCAACCTTGAGTAAGTGATTTAATCTCTATTTTCAATTTCTCCTTCTATAAATAATGTTATCATAAATCTGCCCCTCCCACACTGGAATGTCAGGGGAGAAAATAAAAGTATAAGCACTCTCAGCTTTTTGAAGAAAAAAAGCAAGTTATTGTAATGTTGTATGTTTAGGCAAGTGTTGCTCTATGAGCCTGAGCATAGAAGTCTTTGCTGGTACCTCCTGAATCACACAAAAGTCTGACCCCCCCAAAATGTTATATGACTTTTAACCGCCAGTGTCTCCTGGAGGTTAAAGAAGATAACTAAAGATTTTATGCATCTCATTTAAAAATTCTGAGGGGCTGGGATGTAGCTCAGTGGTAGGAGGTATGCTTAGCATATGCAATGCCCTGAGTTCCATCCCCAACAACTAATAAATACATACCTGGATAAATAAAGTAATAATATTACCAGAAACTTCTCATCCAGTTCATAGGCTCCAGGTTGTTGTTAAATTGTTGACCCATCCTAATTCTAAAGACACCTTTTTTTTTCCATTCCAGGACCTTTCACCCCGGCCTTCATCCTCTAGGGAAGACTTAAAATTCCTGTTATTTTATTATGTAGAAGGATTTAGTTCTCAATCCTCACCTAAGGACAGACTCCAGGCCACCTTTATTGACACAATCACCAATCACCAGGTTGTACAATTCCGGGGGTACCATTCATAAAGAATTCAATATAAATGTTGCTCCAGGGGGTGCCAGTTGCACAGACCCCAAGCCTCCTAGGATCTTGCCTGGCTGTGGCCCTGTCTATGCATAGCTCCTACTCCCAAAATCCATTAAGGCATTTTGTTAAACAAAAGAGGCATCTACTTGGGTGTCCACGCTTTCCCAAGAATTGAAATAATGGGGCTTTTTGTTTATTCTTTGTTTGTTCTAACATAGACCTGATCCTTTACCAGGAGCTTAAGTCTTAGTTTCCACACTTTATTGTGGAATTTTTCACTCGGTTTTGTGACATTGTTGCATATTTCCCCAGATCTGACAGTTTTTTTTAAGACTATCATATTTTTTCTTCCTGGCCTTTTATCCCTTCTTTGACACAGTGCTTGAAAAACGTTTGCTTTGAATAACAGCACAGTGTACCAGAATAGAATATGTTTTAGTTGTAAGTATATATGGCAAAGATCTGAAAAACAGCCCTCAAATGTATTTTTTAACTCAGAGTTTTTTTTTTTGTTTTTTTTTTTAGAGTGAGAGAGGGGAGAGAGAGAGAGAGAGAGAGAGAGAGAGAATTTTTAATGTTTATTATTTTTTAGTTCTCGGCGGACACAACATCTTTGTTGGTATGTGGTGCTGAGGATCGAACCCGGGCCGCACGCACGCCAGGCGAGCGCGCTACCGCTTGAGCCACATCCCCAGCCCTTAACTCAGAGTTTTAAACCAAAAAATATGTTTTGTTGTTGTCGTTGGTAGTAAGGATTTAACCCAGGGATGCTCTACCACTGAGTTACATCCCTAGTTATTTTTGTTTGCCACAACGCCCAGCCAGAAATTGGGATTTTCTTAAACATGACATTTCTCAATTTAAAAAATTTGAGCCACTCGCTATAGCACACACCTGTAATTCCAGCAACTCACAAGGCTGGGGATCACAAGTCTGAGGCCAATCTCAGCAATTTAGCAAGATTCTGTCTCAAAAAAATAAAAAGGGCTGGGGATTTAGCTCAATGGTAAACCATCCCTGGGGTTTAATCCCCAACGCTAAAAAAAATAAAAATAAAAATAAAAATAAATTAATTTGCCTTATAGATTTTTCATGTGTTTACAACTATTTATTCCAATGTATTCTAAGATGATTTTAAATTGTTTTTCTTAGTAGCATGTGAAGTATGATGTACCATTTCAAAACAAGCAAGGCAGGTGCAGGCATCATATCATAAATGTCTTTACCACTGACAATTTTAATATAGTTGAAGCTAATATTTTTCAACTACCTTAGAAATAGAAAATATAATAGCACATACTTAGATAAATTTTACAAAAACCAGCTCTATGAAGTATGATCCCCCTCCTTTTTTCTCCTTTGCTTTGGATGGAGGGACACAAACTCAGCTAGTTAAAGGTAGTTAGCAAGTGATAGAACCAGGATTAGAGCCCAGACAATCTGTCTCCAGAGACACACTCTTAACCACTAAACTAATATTTATTGAGCCTTTCCCATGTGCCACAGCCATGACTGCCTCCCACCTGAAAGACCCCCAATTTATAGAGGAATGCATACATCTTCTCCAGACCTTTTATAGGGGCTGTAATAAACCCACACAGATCCTTCTCGTCTCCCTCCCCATTCCACCTCAAGTCACAGTGACATGTTTATCACATTCATTTTTGAAGTGTACAAACTGTCATACATCTAAAACTCTATCATTCCCATATAATCTTTGCATGAAGTTTGAATTTATTAAAGGTTTTCATGAAGGCTGGGTATGGTGGTGCACGCCTGTAGCCTGTAATCTCAGCTATTCGGGAGACTGAGGC